ACCAATACATTCATCGCTCCGCTCAGAATCTAAAAAAATGGAAAATGAAAATGTCCCTAAACAGTTCAAAATAAATCAAAATATTTTGAAAATGTTATCGTGTATAGAAAATGCAATTATAAACAACCAGTGAAAATGTCATGTATATACGTTCATTTGTTTTAGAGTTACACCAATAACCAAAATCGATTTTTTGGAAAACAAATTTTGCGTAAAAATTCCCGTTTTCCTTAATTTTTATGTTGTTTTTCCCGGCGCTTGTGAAAACTACTGGGAAATTTAAATTTTGACCTCCCCAATGCACCAACGATATTCACTTTCCAATCGAACAAGATACTGAAGTCGAAAATTGAAGCATTATTTCGACTACTTATCGTGTACACAGACACAAAAAAATAAATAAATAAACACACATCATTGTAAAACCAATACATTCATCGCTCCGCTCAGAATCAAAAAAAAAAAAAAATATGGAATGAGGTATGAACTATGATGAAGTCACCCCAGTTTACGGTACTCGGGTAGTAGTTGTTAATTACCTATTGATTTAAAATTTGAATGTTACATTTAAGTAGGTACCTATAACATTAGAAATTTAGAAATTTATATACCACCTACTTCATATTGTTCTGAAAAATGCAAATAAATAAAAAAAATGGCTAAATGATTTAGAAGGCCCGGGGCCGTGTATGGCTGATTTTTTAGCATGCACTATTTGATTATTGCTAATATAATTTATGGTTATCAAATTAAAACATTAAAACATTGAAAAAAAGTCATGGTGGATATCCCTCATAATATATTTTATTATGAATTTATTGTCACATTATGCATGTAATTTATATAGGTAGGTATTAGGTAGGCAGTGTTAATAAATAGGTTACGAACCTAGGCATGATATTTTCTGCCATCATACGTAGTAATATATTGTATTATGTATTTATGTACTATAACGAGTGACGAGTGACAATGATTGAATAAATGAATACCTACCTTTAAAATATTTAAAGATAAGTAATAAAATCCAAAACTCAATATTTACAATTCACATTATAAAAAACAATGTATAAAATATAAATTAGTATATTACCGTGAATACTAATTACAGCAATTATTATATCTACTAATTTAAACACTCGTAAATTGCAATTGAATCAATTTATTATAATAATGTTTATTGATAAATTTAAAACTACACTTTACAATTCATATCACAAAAAACTCTGTATAGGTACATTGGCGTATTACTCACTATTGCTGTAGTCTGTAATTACTAACTACAGCAATGCTATACTAATTTTAACACTTGTAAATTGTAATAAATAGCTAATAGTTTTATTTAAATTTGTTTTAACATATTATATTATGGAATACGTCATACACATTGTGTATTACACCATCTTAAATTCAATATTATGCTATAACAGGAGTGTCTGAGACAAAGAGTCAAGAGAGATTAATGCACGAAATTAAGAAAACAGGAAATTACCTGAAAGACTCCAGCTAAGAAGCCTGCACTCAATACTTTAAATTTTTAACTATATAGTTATTAGTTTATTACTTATTTTAGATTACCTACTCACTATAGATTGTGGTCGTGCAAAAAGTGGCATAGCTGTAATAATTTTTGTATATTTCATAAATAGTTTAATTTGTAAATAATACGAAGAATACTCAATACAAGTATACAACTATAGAGTCTATATTATATAATATATGTACGAATTATATCATCAGCTAATATAGTAATACAAAATATACCACTATCATTTTATTTCGTAATAATAATCTTCTATTCGCTCAAAACTCTTATACAATAATTATTAGTATAATTATAGCGTTGTAAAATTAGAGTGATATTATGTTTCGCGGTAGAATATTATATATTTTTTTTATATACTACTACGTATGTATATTAGTAACTATAATAAATTAATTTTATCAATGATAAATTATGATGATAGTATTGTTACTTATAGCTTTAATTTTTTCTACTGATGTATGTACTCCATATGCTATATATGCTATATATCCATATACTATTGTATAATACTAATAGTGTACCTACATCTACATGGCTCTGGACTGTTTACATTATAATTTTTAGGTTTCTTAAATAAACCTATATTAATCTTAATAACCTAATTTTATAAATAAAATTTAATTTCTGGGAGCCTTCCTACTTTACAATTAATGTTCCTATGACCTACGTCAAATGTGATTTTATGTTACCACACTTACTCATTATACCTGTAGGCTGTAGTATAGATTGTAAATACATTTTTAAATAATAAAAAAAAAGTTTATAAAATCAGTTCATTTCCTGATTTTTTTTTTTTTTGTTAATGTCTTTGGTTAATGTTTTCTTTTAGAGTTTTACTTTGGTTAAAGGCCTCAGAATGAAAATAAATTCTTATGTTTATAATATAATATAATGATTAATGATTAATGGTATTATGAATAAGACGTTTATAGCATTTGAATTTAATTATAATTGTATAAAGCTTATAAATGCAACTATGATGTAATGCTATAAATACTACCTTTTAAAATTGTGAGCATATTTCAATTGTTTTATTTTGAGCAACATATTCAAGGTCGTGCTAAGCAAAGGGGACAACCGTTTATGGCGCCAAATTAAAAGATAGATTTATAATATTTTATTATTATTAGGTAATTATATAGTTAAAAAATATATTTAATATATTTCTTAAATATTTCATAAAAAAAAGAGTTGGAAATCTCCAATACAATAGTCAATACTACTAACAAACTTATGACCAATCAATTAATATTGGAAATTATGGGGTCCAAGTAATTTTAGAGTTTCTATCTACTGAATCTAATCAAAGCAGGAATGCTATTTATCACGAAACAAAATCAATAACCACGTACCCTTATACAAATAAAATAAAATCATTTGAATTGGAGTTTCTTTCTGTTTTTTGAGTTCCTATCTTAGAAATATTCAATAAGACTTCATTAAGTCTCCAACTAACTAATATTAATTTGTCATATCCATATGCACTCAATAAGCTTGCCAATCCCGGATTAAGACCTTCCAGGGCCAATACATGGTTGTGACTTGTGAGCACCCACAAATAAAAACAACTCTTTAAAATAATAAAAATGTAATACTATGGGCTCTTTACATACATGTTCTCGGGGGACGTGCCCCTCCCTGTCCCCTTAAACCAGGCTTGACTCATGCATGTATCTGTGTGAAATGTAATTGTAATTATTTATAGGTACTATTATATAGAGTAGTAAATTAGAAATACCTATCTATGATGATCCGTTTTTGAGTAACTAAAAAAAAAAATTATTTGAAGAGAAATTATTATATTACTCTTGAATATATAATTTTGTCAAATAATAACAACTTATGTCTTATGAGGACTTTGTATTGTAATTTCTTGTATTAAATCTTAGGTATGAATATTACACATTTTTTAATTGGTATACCTATTATGAACAACTTATAAGAAGTAAGAAGTTTTGTACAAATCCGGTAGTGTTAAAGTAAGAGAGTAAGTGGCACATTAATTATATTTGCCTAAATATTTCTCACAAAAAAAAAAAAAACGCAATTAGATAATAGATTTATATTATTTATTATACAATCAACATCCATCATAGCTATACGTACCTACTATTAATAGGTAGGTATAGTTTTTTTCAATAGATTTAATTATTTTATTTTGTTGACTAAATGTCTGCATCAACAGTTCAGTGAAGCACAATATTGCAGAATGCTGTTTAATATATCAGCAATAGAGGTACTCGTTTTTATGTTGATATATAATACCATATACTATTCCATACTATTATATTCGCTTAAATTGACTCCCTTTGAAAATATTTCCTGCCTACGCTCGCCGTATAGGGTCCCGTGCTCGGTATTTCATGCTCTGAAACTGACGAGTAGTGTAAAGAAAAAAATCAACAAATAAAAACATTTACCAACATAAAATAAATACGTAACTACTGACGACTATAACCTCTCTATACATGCGGTGGTGGCAGTTGCGCGGCGGCGGTGATTCGAATATACGCGGGAACAGTACGCATTCCATCGGTGGCCGTTGCTGTGGATTGTGACGGGCGGGGAGGAGAAAAATCCGGTATGTCGTGTGTGAGATCGCGTGCGGGTGTGCTCGTGCGTGCGTGTTGACTTGCTTGTGGCTTGTCACTCGGCCCCGCGTGCGCGCTGCTTGGCGCTTTCTCGTCCGGCGGTAGGTGTATTTGCGAGGTGGCGGGCGCGAGCATAGTGTATCGTAATCTATGTGTACGTTACACGTGCGTGCGCGTGCGTGTGCTTGCATGTGTGTGTGTTTGAGTGCAAGAATGTGAGTGTGTGCGCGCGCGGCGCGTGTACGTTGTACGAGTACGACAACGACGCGACGACGACACACCGCCCGTAGCGCTCCTACGTAGTTGTGTAGGCACTGGTAGGCACGTTCGCCTTTTCAAACGCCAATAAACGATAAACAAATCCTTATGAATAATAATAATAATAACAATAAAAATATTCAGTGATACAGATTTCGGTGATAATATCGCGCACATTATTATTATTGTTATTACTTATTATTATTATTATTATTTAATAACAGCGTTCGGTCGTAGGTACGTAAGAAATAATTATAATAATCGTTTTGTTCAATATTTATCTCCGTCTCGGTTATAATACATATTTCTGCAATTCCGTTGGACGCGGTGTTATTATAATATACGATCGACATTTTTCGGTTGAGCACAACCTAAACGTTCCGTTCGCAACGTACCCTTTTCACCGCAGTCGTTGCGCTCGTGGGCACGGTTAAAAGTGAAGGACACTTTCTTTACTGGGCCATTTCGACGACCGACCGCATTCGGTGACTGGCGTGTGCGACACGACCATCGTTCCGCCGTACATATATGGTGTATTATAATAATAATAATACTGACCGCACGGACGTTCACAGGACACCACGGGAGGTGAAAAAACAAATGTTTAAATGGAAGCATCTTCAATTATCACCCAAGTGTCGCGAGAAGATGAACACCTAAAAAGTTTTGTGCCAGATAAGGGTAAGCCGATTTTTCTCGTCTGCATTTTTGGTGTACCTACCTACCTATATACCTAATATTTTTATTATTATTATTATTTTATTATTATTATTATTATTATTATTATTATTATTATTACTATTACCTATTGTCGTCGTATTTTGAATTTTTAATACCTAGTCTAGTAATTCGACATGTGACATGACAAAATATAAAAGATGAACCGTGGTCGACTGTACTGACACGGCAATGCCTAATTGTATTTTAATTTTATTACGTATCTACGTATTAATTATAGTTGTGTACCTATGTAAGTACACTTTTTTCATATTTTATCAACAAATGTGTAAACAACCGCTTAATACTTTTTATTGATGATTGTATGGGCGATTGATGCAATGATTTTCAAAGGGTCTCTAGAAGTTTTAAACTTTCTTATAAATTTTTTCGTTGTTGGATGCTCGATTATAAATAAAATAATTTTAGAACTCCCTGGTAATGACCGAGTTGATTGTTTAGGCCAAACTGAGTCGGCGACGCTGTACGTTTTCATTTTTGATTAGAAATATATTGTAAAATAATTAAAAAATAAATCATTAAATAATTATACCAAATATTATTATTTTTATTATTCCATAATGTTCGTGCTGAGATACGACAACCATGAATATTATTGTTTAAGAACACGCTACACAGGCATTTGTTATCTCCAACTTACAAAATACAAATGCGTAACATAACAAATTCACGTTCAGAAGATTATGTTTAACTACGTTAGTTTCAAAAAAAGAGTGAATCAACCTACAATGAAACTTAGTGGTAAGAACATGGTCTGTGTTTTCTGTGGATTTTTTACAATAATTCAGTTTTCAAGTAAGTTATGTGCATTTTTAATTTAAGCTATATTATATACGCAAACTTGCTAAAAAATTGAACTATCACAAAAATCCCAGATACAAACACAGATAATGTTCTTACCGTCAAGTTTCATAATAGGTCGATTCACTTAAATTTTTAAATTAACTGAGCTAAATGTGGTCTACGGAGTGTAAATTTTCTATGTTACGCATTTGTAAGTCGGAGATAACAAGTTCCTGTATAGAATGCTCTTAACATTTATCGATTGGTAATAGTGTAATATTAATAACAATATTTGTTATTTAATTTTATGTATTCGTTACCATATTTCTTTTACTTTTATAGTTTTATAAATTGTTTATAATATGTAATTTATTTGTATTTAGTAACGTATTATTGTTTATTCAGAGTGTGTTATAGTTTTATTTTTCTTAATTGTATGTTCAGTAGGTATCATCTGTATGCACGCAATCATTTAATATGAAATAACATGTTTATAATTTATACTATATAGTCGTAGGTACCAGGCAGATAATTTGTCACAATTTCACAATAATAGGTGAACAATACATCTAATTATAGGTACATAGGTAATTATACGTGTGAATAGGCTGTAAATTTTCTGGTACCTACCTGAGTATTATTCTACAAAAATATGCAAATTACTATTTACTTGAGTATTTTTTAAGAGTAGTATCAAAATTCAAAAAAAAAAAAAACATTCCTAGGGTAACAATAATATCTATCGATACCTTCAATAATTGACACCTATGCGTTATCAAACATTATTAAATTATATACCTATCTATTATTTAGTATTTATTTATAATTAAAAATTGCTTACATACCTAATATACACATTACACCACGCATTACACATTATCTACCTAGGTAGGTACTTACTATTTATTAAACTTTTATATAATGTGTAAAAAATTGCTTGAATTTCTCAAAAGAATGATGGAGTTCTCCTTGGGTACCCGTACTTCACTAATCAATTTTTTTTTTTATATCTTAGATAAAGAAATCTATTGTGCATAATTGATATTGTTTGTTTTTAAATAGGTATCAGAACTTAATTTAAAATCTTAAATTAAATACATATCAAAACAAATTAATTAGGACTCTTATATAAAATATATATATGTTTGGAACTCTTGTTGATTAAATTATTCCAATGTATTGTTATTGGGTACCTTCATATTGAAAATTTTAGTTTAAAATATTATGAAAAATTGTTGTTTCACTAAGAAATTAAAATTAAGACTTTATAAAAGGATTTTATAGTAATAGATTATTTTTCTTATCAATCTATTAATATTACGTAAACTTTTTAATAAAATGTTATATTTAGCCTTACCTATATCCTTGATTTTCTTTATCAAGAGAGAAGGTATTTTTAGAGGTTTTAATTATACATCTTATGATCAATTAATTTCAAATTAATACCTAGGTAACTTCTTTTATTTATCAAACAGCAAACACATTTAAGATTATATATTATACTATAAAATTACACGCATAATATGTTTATTTAATTTTTATTATAATTTGCATCATTTTTTTCTGCTGCAGTAATTACTTTCTATGATTTCATGAATTGAACTATAATGTTTTTGACGTAATAGATTAGAATTATGGAGGTTGTGAAAGGTATATAAATATATCTACTAATATTATTGTTATATTATGTTCGTCGAATTTGGAATAATTGAGTGTTGTCATTTTTAATATATGTGTTTTAGGCAAAGTTCTAGGTTTATTAATTTATTATAAATATCTTATCTGACTTAATCAATTGCAATATACTATATGTATGATTAAATATAATTATCTTGAACTATATTTATCTCAATATTTATGGTTGATAAATAATGATTTAATTATGTACCTAAATAATAACTACAAGTTTTTTTTTTTTTTTTTAATTAATGTGTGATTGAATGTACCGAGAATGTACCTATAGAACTAACTAATGTATTTATACAACTTTTGGTAGCTTAAAATATAATATAGGTACTATTCAAGTTTGATTACTTTAATAGTTTAATAATAATACATTATACTATTGAATTACAATTTGTGTATAATTATTTATTTATACATTTGAGGGTACTCATTTAATGAGTGATAACGTACAAAATAGTTAAAATATAAACATAAAAAATAGGTTCATAAATTGTCAGATCCTTAATAATCCAGACAAATAAATCTGTTATTTTAATTAATGATAACATCAGTTAGGTAGGTATATGCCAAACCAGTAAATGGCTTATAAAAGTCAAATAAACTTTGATGGATAAACTATATTTTGTGTTTTATTTAATTTTTTTCATCAAGTATGTAATTACACTACTTTAAAATATTTTGATGATCGAAACACGTCTAAGAATTAGTTTTAATTATATTGTTTGAGTACTGATTTATTATGTAGGTACTTATATAGATATAGATATGTATATAATATAATATACCTATAATAATTAATATGTGTATTAAACCTATTTAAATTGGACCTAATTTATTTGTTATGGTTTTTCTAAGTTCTACACCTAATATAACATTGTATGTTTAGAAACATTCAGTTTCACCTTAATTTAATTATATTATTGTTTTCCAATGATTTTCGTTTGATTAATGTACAATTATGCAATTTGACCTTGAAAGTTATGGCAAAATATCTATTAGTAAATTAAAAAAAATAATTCTAATAAGTTATTACTAATAACCTTAACGGTTTTAAAATATATTAGTGTCCAATGATTTATTTTATTATACCTATATAGGTACTGACTACTGTTATTTGATACATCTAAGTATACCTAATTGATAATTGTTAATTTTTCACTTTAATTTTCTTCTAATTTTTTTGTTTTTTTTTAATATTAATAATATTTATAATTTATTTAATTAAAAAAAAATGTCAATTCAAATTTTTTGAGTCACCATTAGTAGAAAGAACATTTTCATTATATATATATTTGTAAATACATTAATGTATTTATTTTTTTTATAGCTGATCATGTTCGATTGAAAAATGAACGTGGTATATGGCGAACATTACTTTGCTGTTTTGGGAAATCAAGAACAAGACCAAATTCTACTTTTGTCCCAAGCAGTAACATACATGGAGTGAATACTAAGGCTGACAGGAGTTTTACTCCTCCACTTAGCCCAGATCTTTCCCAGTCATCATACTTACTTCCTGCTATAAGACACCAAGATATGCACAAAAAATGTATGGTTATTGATCTTGATGAAACGCTTGTCCATAGTTCTTTTAAGGTACTTATAAAATGTATTTTATATTTAAGTCTTGCACATAAAAATGAAATTAATTAAACAAGAAAAAACTTGTACTGTATTAATTTAATATATTACATACGATTAACTTATATATTTATTTAAAATTTGCCAGGCAATTAATAACGCAGATTTTGTAGTACCTGTTGAAATTGATGGCACTATTCATCAAGTCTATGTATTAAAGAGACCACATGTAGATGAATTTCTTCAACGTATGGGTGAACTCTATGAGTGTGTATTATTTACTGCAAGTCTTGCCAAGGTATATTTATTCATTATTATAATTACTAACTTAAAATAAGTCCCTATGTTCTATGTTGCTATTTGTGTAAAGTAAATATTTTGTAGGCGATTTAATGCATGTAGTTATTATTTTATATTTTATAGGTATACCATTCAATTTGTTTTATGTATAGTTTGGTTATGTTTTAGTCAATCTATTAACTTACTATGCATCAATTATGATACCATATCATATAATTAAACAATTAATATAATATGAAATGAATAATGTTTTCAAAATTATTTTGTTCACTTTTTTAGTATGCCGATCCAGTTGCCGATTTATTAGATAAATGGGGTGTATTTAGAGCCCGTTTATTCCGTGAATCGTGTGTGTTTTATAGAGGAAATTATGTAAAAGACTTAAACAAATTGGGTCGCGCATTACATAAAGTCGTAATCATTGATAATTCACCTGCGTCGTACATTTTTCATCCAGACAATGCTGTATGTTTATTTCATTTATACAACATTCATATTTAATTTAAAACAATATTTATTTTCTTAAAATATTATTTTTTAGGTCCCTGTTAATTCATGGTTTGATGATATGACTGATAAAGAACTGTTGCATTTAATTCCGTTTTTTGAAAAACTTAGCAAAATGGAAAATGTTTACCCAGTTATTTGCAACATAAATCATATGGCAAATGCTGCTGCTGCAGCCATTGCAGTACAATCTCAACACATCAGTAGCGACAATGTCTTATAGCATCAATTTTTAAGTACAATTTATTTGTGCCAATGGTAATTATTCTAATCTACCATGTTAAACAAAAGTAATAATAATCATAATGTAACAATTGTATAACGTATACAAAGATAAAATTATAATATTTACCTAATTTAGGTACCATTATAGCTTACAACTGTTTTAATTCTTTTTTTTTCTTAAAACTCCTCGAATACATTTTTTTTTAGATATTTAGTTTTGTTTTTATAAAAACTAAACAAACTGACAATTTTCTAAGGTATTATACCTATTACCTACCTATATCATTCAATTAAAAATTATTATTTATGATTTTTTAGACTATAATTTAATAACACTCTATGGATAACAAACCAACATTTTAAAGTATTCATTTATGTCAAATTAAAGTACTTATTATCCATGCATATGTATAGTATGGTGGACTAATCAAGGACAAAATAATTAAATTAAATATAAACTGTCTAAACTCTAAAGTCAACCATCTTTTTTTATTTAAAATATGTGTTCTAATGCACATCTGGTGAATATGTTTATACGAACATATGATCATATCAAATCATACAATATATGGTATAACCATGAAGTTCAAGTTATGAATAAAATATTAAAACTTAATCAAATTAAATTTTTATTTTTTACATTTTTGTCTGTCCATTTTTATAATAAGTATTTTAATATAAAATATAGGTACAAATATCTATGCTTTTGTCAATAATTGATTATTTTATATTTTATTGTAATGGAATTATTATTATTATTATGTAATTCATACAAATTAAAAGTAAATTATTGACACCCCTATTGCATAGATTCACGAATTTAATAATATATTATACATTAAAAATATATTTTAACTAAAATCAAACATTCTCTAATATTAATTTTGTTTGTTTTTATTTTTGTGGAAAAATCAATTTTTTTAATTAATAGGTTAATTATAAGCTCTCAAGAGGACACAATCAGTAATCTAAATATATTAAAATAGTGTCATATGATTGTGCATGTTTTTAATTACTTTAAATAATTATAACAATATTGTATAGAAAATAAGTATGCAGTACCATGGAGTGAATTGTATTTATTCGTAATTATAAAAATGTTGTATTCATTATCATTTATACATTTTTTTTTACTCTATGTAACTTGTAAACAAATGGAAATATTTTATAATTTTTATAAAAATTCAAACCATTATTCTATATTTTAATATTTTTTTTATTTTATAAGCAGTATTTCAATTATTTTATAAAAACAATACATATATGATATGTGTGTTCATTTATGCATTTATACAAATGGACTGGTTTCAAACTTCGTTTTGTTGTATATTCATTAATTATTATTGTGTACTCTTGAGATAATTTAAATAATAAATGTTATTATTATTTTTAATTTATGTTTTATTTAAAAATAATAATAAATGTTATAATTATTTTTAATTATGTTTTATTTAAAAATATTCAGTGGCTTATACAGGGAGAAGTGTGCTTAGTTTTATCTTTAACATTAACTTAAGAATTCCAATATAAAATATATTTATTTGCACAAGTTATTGTAATACTAATTTTTTTTTTCACTTCTTATTAATCCTGTGTATGCTACAGATAATATTAAGAACACCAATGTTGTACTATTACCTTTTGTGATTGTCTTTCAAAATATTTTGAAACATGTGTTTTTATTATTACCATTAAATGATTTTATTTTGTTTTCTTTTAAAATTATATTTATTTTTAACATTTTATCACAAAAAAAAACAAAATTAGGATTAACATTATGTTAATATCTAGATTTTAATTTTTTGTTATTCTACTAGTTACAATATTAGTAGTTGAGCATTTTACAATCTGTATGGATTTTGTTATACAAATAACATTGTTCTTGCTCATCAGTTTAATTTGATTTATTTTACATAATATTATGGTTTCAGATAATTGAATCTCTCGTTTATTATTAATTTTGGTTGTTTCATACAATTTTATTTCTTTATGTGAAATGCATTTAGTTGTCTAATAAATGAAGTATCAATGTATCATATTTGTATGTATATTATTAGACTAGATTGTCACTTATTATACACTCATTATACTTTTAAAAAGTACTGAAACTATAAAATATACACAATATTTTATTATTATTTAGCTCTATGATTTATTAACAAATTCTAAATTGATACATGAATAAAATTATAAATAATATATCACTTAGCACTTCTTATTTAATATTTTCATTAATATATAAAACAATATGTATAGTAATTTAAGAGGAATCCACACACACGTTTGCATTGTCTTGCTTACCTGCATTGTGCAACATAACACATTTGGCTTTCAGTAGAACCAATTTTATTTTATTAACTTTGATATAATATTAGAGTGAATTGACCTACCTATTAACAAATTTTTAATTAACAATATCATAAGGATGTATTGATATTTCGATTTTGAATAAAATTATCTTCATTTTAATGATTAAAATATATTCACTCTAATATTAAAGTTAGTCACACAAAATTAGTTCTGCTGAATTCAAATTTTTTATGTTGTACGTTTGTCAGAGATACAACACATGAGGGTGTATAATAAAAAGGAAAACAGGAATATAAAGGTGTATTATACATGTATGAATATTAAATTATATTTACCTAAGAAAATTAACAGTACTGCAGAAACTGGTTACAACAACATTTAAATTACTTATGAAAATTTAAACTATTGTACCTACTATTCAGATATTTCAGTAAATACACAAAAAAAAAATGTATAAATAATAATTGTATGCATACAGAAGATATTATGTAATGACAGTTTGTATGCACTCATTGTAACACAATGGCCAAGAGACCTTGAACTAAAATTGAACTTCTATGATACAGTTTAATTTTTTTTTTATAGTAACTAATTCTTTGCACTGAAATTTAAATTATTTTTGTTAATGAAAACTTACAATTTAAAATGTTTATAAAATCTAATTACTTGTTTAATGCAAAAGCCACTCATATACAATTTATTTCCAATGTTTAAAAGTAATTCTTCTTTATTTTTGACTAAGACAATCACTAAAATAGAATATGTACAAGAACAAATAAGTTTAATTAGGTACCGTTGTCTATTACTGAGTGACACACAAACGTAAACAATATACACATGTTATTTGATTATGAATTTTAAATGATCGTTAGATATGTTATTCAGTAAGCTTTTTGTTTAAGACTTACATTAGATGGTCAGATATGTCCAACACAAATAAGCCGTAACGTTGCCTGGTTAAATATTAATAGCCTGCCTAATGTTGTATGTTAATGTAATTTACAAATTATTTAAATACTATTTTGTGACAAAAAAATGAATTAATATTTTGAGAATGTGCCAGTATTATATACAATTTCAAGAATTAAATATACATTTTACCTTGAAATATTTATAACGAAAAAAAAAACAAAAATTACATTTATCCGTAAAACACAATCTATGCATTATGTCACAATCAAAATAAAGTATAATTTAAATAATATTGTGTAATAATTTTCTTTCATCTTTGAAATTTAATAAAAACATTATGTGTCTTAGACCTCTTTGTCAATTACAACAATAATGAGAATAAGTGCTGATCTCTATTATACAAGTTTTTTTGTTCATACGGTACTGTCAATAAACATTTTTTGCTGTAAGTAGATTTATCCTGGTGCACCTCCCGACCCTCTTTTTTTAGTATAAAGGCACTAACGACTAATGAGTATTAGAAACATTTGCAAAATTCTCTTTGATTTTTTTTTTAGGGTGGGGGAACATTGATGTTTTACAATTTAAAGGAATCCACAACAAAAGGAAATGTTTTCTTCAAATTTTTAATTCACAGGGTGACGTCATTGAAATGTCCATCTAAAAATTGTATTTTTGATGTTTGCTTTAGGTATAAAAGTGTGCATTTTTGTGTGAACAACTATAGAAGTATCAAAATGTCAATAAAATGTTTAAATATTATTTAAAATACTTAAAGAGATAATGGCTGGTTACGCAATATCATTTTGCGGTAAGTGACTGTTGCAGTTACTGAGACGTACATAACAAAAATTACTCTAATAAGATTTTAAATATTTCAAATAATCTAAACATTTTAGACAAATTCTAGTCCCACTACTGATTAAAGTGCATAAAAACCTATAACATACATGGTACAATAAAAATTTGAAAATATACTTTAAAGGTAAGTAAATTATTATGTGAAGCAAACCAGTCTTACACATATAAGATAGGCAATTACAACAAGCAACTTGTCTATACCTATTGAGTAATTTTGACATTGAATAAAGTGTGTAGAAACTTTAAACTTAAGGGGATTCGATGCAGCGTATTTATTTCATGATTTAGACCTAAAAACCTGACAAAAATAAGCCTACTTAGAATTATCAGATTTCAATTCTGTAAAAAGATTCGAGTTCATTGACAATTTTCCTAGGTTATTGTAGGAATAAATTTTCGATATTTTTTTTAGAATTCACGTTATATCATATTTCGATTTCTCAATTTTTTGAAAATTGTTTGAGTCTTTCTTTAAAAAGTTAAACAGTTATTCAAAAATCTACTCCCACAATAACCTAGAAAAAAGAACGATGAATTCAAATATGTTTACAGAACTAAAATCCGATCATTCTAAGTTATCGTATTTTTGTCAGGCTTTTAGGTCTCAATTGATTGAAATTAGTTTCCCGTAGGAACAATTAATATTTTATTATGTGACATGTGCATGCGGGTGCGAACCACTGATTCCGAACGTATCTACGCACACTAATGATCATTTACTTCGCACACAAACACACTGCGAAACAACTATAATACATCGAATTGCCTATACACGACCCCTTATTAAATCACCGCATCGAATCCCCTTAAACCATTTTTCTTAGAATTGAACATTCTTTCAAATTAAAAAACATATTGTTTGTGATTTGTGCTCCTTTACTATACAATTTATTTATTTAACAGAAATCAATTATAAAAAATTTGTTGTTTAGTATGAAATACATATTATAACTTGTAAAGAAATGATATTGAAGACATATTTTATCGATCAAAATTTAAAATGTCTAATAGTTGTACATAATTTGCACATTTATATTTAAAAATGGTAACAGCGAAAAACAACTTGAAGAACAATACAATCGAACGAGATTAACTTGAAATTGTCGATACTTCAAACTTTTTCCCTAATTCCAGTTAGATACGTTTGACTGTATTGTATTCTCTGATATAAATAAAATCAACTTAATAATTATTATACTAAGCATTTGACATTTATACATAACAAATACAGTCATATTCCTGTAAGACTTTTAATTGAAAATAGATACTTTTCCTAGCCCACAATTAACAGTGAGGCTATTTTAAATAAATATGGATTTTGGTACAATAAATACCACAAACAAATTGTTATTGTTAAATTTAATTAATATATAAAAATAAAAATAAATATTAATATTAATATTAACAGGTAGTTATAACATTTTTTAAAAATATTATGTTGCCTTTTTGATACACAGATACTTTATTGTAATTATGAGAATAGAATGATGAGACTGAGTGTGGGGTAAAAGTCCCTAAAGTCTGCTTGCAATATCCCCTCTCTCTCCCCCTCATATGAAACATAACGAAGGTTTGCTACTTTGCTATAACCGGTTATGTATCAATTAATACAGTGGTTCTCATGACAAACTAAAAGGGTATGTCAGCTACTCGTGATACGCATGTCTGTGACGTAAGTATTTCTCCAACTGGTTGTGCAGTGTTGTGGTGGAGGAGTCTTTAGTGGAGGTCGACCAATGAGAAACGAAGAAATGCTTACTGGATGAGCGATTTGTTTCAAAACTGGTATATTGCTGACATAAATATATAATTTGTCATGGTTATTCTTAAGCTGTGGTCCACAGCCGCTGGTGATCCCCAATACTGAGGGTCAGTGGCATTATCAATATTTAAATATTGATTTTGATAACATGAGATATTTTGTAAAATAAAAAAGTAATTTGATAGAAAATTGGTAAGGGGTTTGCAATTTCTAAAAATCAGAAATCCATATACAACAAAAAATTAAGAACCACTGAATTAATTAGATATATATATATTTTTATTTAAAAATAATATAATATAAATAATAATACCTAATATATTATATTATATATTTTATAATTAGTCAAACAATGTCTTGTATATTATTTTTATTACTAATATATAAACATTGAGTGTTTAGGTGCTAATAAAAAACAATAATAATAATAATAATCATAACATTCATAATATTTGGCAATAACTCTAAATTAAACTATTGACATAATAATATGTAATATTACAAATCAGTTCTTAATTTAATTATTCTTATGTAATTAATAAAGAAAAAATTGTAATTATCATTTATTTGAAAATAAGAATAAAATTAAACTAAGATAATATGTAATTATTTATTATTATAAACCAATATATAAAGTCAATGAACTTATAATTTAATTCTAATAAATTGTATTACGCAGGAATTTAAAATATGAATGCACAACTCTTACAACTAAGAGAAAATTGAAATTTTGCAATAAATGAAAAATTAATTTAAAAAATATGACGTTTATAGTTTTAACCACAGTACAAAAATATGAATCATAATATTACTGTATTACATTTATGATATAATAAAGTTTAATTGGATTAATTTAATCGAATATTATTTTATAAATTTATTCATAACCATCAACTTTCATATCATTTAATCCCAGCTCTTCATTCTGTTCATCAGTTCTATCAAACCGCATGATTGTAAGTTTCGGATCCAAATCTGGAGGTGTTAAGCTCTGGAAAAAAAAAATCATTCAGTCTTACTCTTACATATTAAATGATCACAACACTTGTAAGGTTTTCAATTGTACTTATATTGTATTTATACTACATAATTATATCCCCATCATATGAAAATAATTTTATATCCAAACAATAATTTAAAAATTCTCCAAACTATACTCTATTCAGGATTCCATATATGTAGACTGAACCACCAAACTCCATTGGCCTCCTGAGAAAAGCTAACCGCTCTGCTTTAGGAGTGTTTTGCCGAGGTAAAGAAAAAACCGTTTGCTGACTGTTTACTGATACCACCTGATACGGTAGGTATATAAAGTTTGTTAATTGTGAAAACGAAAATATATTGTCAAGGGTACCAGAAACACTAATATTTAACTTAACAGTAGAAAAAGTCGTTAAGATATGGGAGCAAATATTTTAGTTAACAGTTAACAGTTTTACATAAAATTATTGCAAAAACTATTTACAAAAACTAGTTAACTATTTTTTTTTTTTTGGTACTTCAGCATAAACGTACTTATACATTGTTAATCATCACTCATTGGTACAACTAAGATGATAATAGTATAAGTTTATGGGTAGAAGTGCGCCATTGGCGAGACTAAATTAGTTTTTGTCGGCTAAACAATTCACTCTAATCCTGATTATATTATAATATTTTAAACTATTGTACAATTAAACCATTTTATATTATTACTGTTCTTATTACTTAAAGGACACATTCATTTTTTTCTTCTTTAATTTGAAGTTTATCAGTGTATATGATTATTGTAGTCTAAATTATAAAAAACGTATTGCTAAAAATCAAAGTTAAAAAAAAAATATATAATTATTCAACAGGATGAGAGTTGATGAATAGCCACGTGACGTCATAGAGCCGACAAGTGAGTAGCCGCCCGTGTTATACATATAAAAGTAGTTTGATTTACACAATTATTTTAATAGCTTACGATCATAGACCTATTAATAGGTCTATGCTTACGATAGTATTTCAGAGTTTTATTTTTCATAATCTTAAGTATATTTATGTAAATAATAATTAAGAAAAATTATTGAGCTGCGACTCGCATAGTATAAACAAAATTTAAAAAAATTTACTATAACAGTTTTATCTACTATAAAAAACTAGAAAGTATATACAAATTATATTAAAACCAGTGTCATAAACACAATAAAATATTTAAGGTTACATAAAAAATATTATTTTTAACAATTGAAATTGTTGTGCTAATCTAAACACTTTTACACGTAAAACATACGCCGCCGTTCTGAATTCAATTCTATGACGTCACAAGCATATTTCAAACACCTATATCTCATTGAACATTTAAAAATAATATATGGTAGTAATAGGAAATTATGTATTAACTGCAAATTAAAAGTCCATGGTAAATTATGCAGTATTTAAAAACTGTAAGGAACTATAGGTATGGGTTTATTAAAAAATATGTTTAAAAGTAATATTTACCTGGACATAACTATTTCCTGCTGGATCAATGAGTATAATATCTACTGGCATTTTACAAGTTTTAATGTTGTTCAATTTTTCTAAAAATATTTCTGTTTTGGCTAAAACACCTCCAGACTGACTGTCACCAGAATAAAATGCTGTAGCAGTATCCTTCAATTGTTCATGTAATGATGTTATGAGACCTTCAATAGTAGTGAAGCGACCACTCAACGAAAGTGCACCAGCTTCAAAATCCAATTGTGGAATACGAAGACAACATGTTTCTGACTGAAAAGTGAAAAATAGCATTATTATATATAAATATTCAGGATCTATGTGATTGGCTTCTATATAAGTGAGTCTTAAAAAAATTGTGTTGGGGATAAACGTTAGTATATAAGCTTTGTAGTATTTACTAACTAAATTAATAGTTAGTTACCTTCAATATATCCCTATTTAAATCTTCAGGAGCTGATACTTTAACAGTAATTTGTAATCCTTGCTTTTCAACACCACCTCCTGGTTTAACCTCATTAGTACGATAGCCACATTCTTCACAGGTAGTAGCCATAATTACAACTTGTTTGAAGTATGGAATATCTATAAATATCATTGTAGCAAAATCATAAGAACATTTTTATCATATTGTTTGGTGTACAGTAAAATAAATACCTGTCACTTTCATATTAGTTTCACAAATCGATTGACAATTTGGACATGGGTCACTAAATTGAACAATTTCATCATTCATATTGTTAACAGATGAATCATTGAAAGTGCCTAATGGTTTGATAATAGACTGTTGATCGGTTGTGTCTTGTTCTGCTGATAATCCAATCATTTTATCCTGGGCACTGTCACGAGTAAACATTTCAGTTTTCATTCTGGGATCAGCCTGGGGCGCAACAGGATTTGAAACAAATATATTCCCAGTTGCATCTTCAAAAACCTACAAAAATTAATTCATAGTTAATTTAAAATAAAATTAATAATTAATATAATTACCATCATTGGAATAGGCTTGGTTAGATTTTTGATACCAATCAATCCATTAATTACAACTTCCATCTTTGATGCTATTTCAGGGTGTGTTATATCAATAACTTTTTTTTGTTCGCTTAAATTTGTAACCGTTTTAGCAATTATGCCTTCAACAGTAGTTACTTGTGATCGTTGTGACATTGGTGGTATTTCAAAGTCTAAATCAAGCACTTGAATACTTGTGTAGTCCGTTGTAATCACATATCTATCCAAATCTTCTTTGTTTTCAATGTTTAAAGACATACGAACACCTTGTGGCTTAATTTCAATTGCTGGATCCAACTGATTATTTTTATAATTGCAGTGTGGACAATCAAATGATGATATTACAAGTTCTTTGTAATATGGAATGCGTGTCAACAAGAGTCGTGTGGTACCCTAAAATAATTTTAGGTGATTATAAATTAGGTAAGGGTAAGGTAGGATAATTGTAAGCTAAATCCTACCAATAAATCTAGTTAAGTTTTCATAAGATTATTTTATTAATTTTATGTTAATTCTGATACTAGGGTTAGGATGTTTATGATTTTGGATGTTTTTTTTAGGTTGACTATTGCATATATTCTTAAGTATAAATTTTATTTATGATGTCTAAATTCATAATTTTAATTGTGTAAAATGTAGCATATAATTGCATATATTGGTTTTTTTTCTGGTTTTCGATACAAAATATGAAATAAAATAAAATGCAATCCACTAAAACTGAATCTAGGTTTGTACATTATCTGTATATAGATTATACAAAAATTAACGCTCATCAGGAATTCTATAACATACAGAATATACACAGTCGAACATTTAAAAGCTATTGTTGCCCAATGCAACTCTCTGAATCAAGAAATGTATATGAAATTATAATTGTAATTAATAATTATACATGGTTTTTAAACATTTTCTTTAATTTTCATTAAATAATTAAAGAATAAAAAATACAATGCATATTTAGCTATTTTTAGTGTATACCTAAACATTGTAACTCTGAATAATAAAATAAATGTATTCTTAGTAGGTCATTAGGTAATCAAAATGTCCACATAGCAAATTTGTAAATATATCTTTTCTGTTTTTTACACAAAAGCCATTGTTTAAATGTTTAATATTAATATTATTAAATATCTATACTTATAATCAAGTTTAACCTAATACCCGACTATGGAAATTTTCCTACTACGATACAAGTTGTGTATAAATGGAAAATTCAAAATGGACATAAATATAAAATATTTTGACTAAATTGTCTATAGCTAAAGAACCATGTTTACACTAGGTACAGCATTTATAAATATTTATACTGCTATTTTGTCTATTACTTTTAGTATAACATTAATATTAACTGGTACTTTTCGGTTATCTCATCTACCACCAGTATCAATTATATGATATTGACTACCTACCAGGCCAATAATAAACGATAATCTTTTTGAATTAATTTATGTTTTATATAATTTGCCGTTCCTTCAACTAGCATTGTAGACTTTAGACTGTAGTTACCAAACCAGGAAAATAAATTTATAATACACTACCTATGTTAATCAATTAAATAAGGACAACCGATTAATCAATCATTAATCAAAATAATATTATTGTTTTTTAATAGAATTGTTTAGTAAAATACAAAATGTTAATAATTAAAGTTTAAGTCCGGGACAATTTCCTCTCCCAAAACACTTAATTTCAAAATGTTACAGACGTACAGTCTCGTGTAAACCAAGAAATATGGTAAATATAATTTGATTTTGTATAAATATTGTTATAACATCAAAAACTCAGCTACCTGCGATACCAATAATTGAACAATTTGACAAGGACATGAACAATATATGCGTATGTAGATTATATTATAATAGTATAATAAAAAGTAACAAAGCCGAATAAATCAAAGAGTATACTCACATTCTTTCCACAACTAAAGCACAAACTCTCGATTACGTTTACTTCTAATCGGTCGACGTCCAATTCTTGGAATACATCGTTGGTTTCAGCACTGTTACTGTTAGCCATAACTGACTTAAACGAATCACGGTCTATGCAATATAATTTGAAAGAGTTAAAAGATATATTCTAAATTTTTAGATGCTCGAATGTAGCAGCCGTAAAATGTGATTTAGTGGAGAACTGCAGTGACCACAAATTAAGATAATAATAATAATAATAGTAATAATAATTTGTAGGTTGTGTGATGATAAAAGATACACACGTATCTGTGATAGTGTACAAAAAGTTAGGTTATAGCACAGAATATATCAATATCAAATGTTCTATGATAATATAGTAATGCAATTCATAATATAATGGGTAGGTATGCTATGCCACCATATTGCGACTCAATTATCAACGACAAAATAAAGTGGGAAAAATTCATATTCACATAACATTATGAGTCGCCAAATGGCGGTGTAGCATACCTAGTATCTATAGTGCCCTAGTTAGTGTTTAGTGGTGTACCCATTTTTTACGGAAGCGCAGTTGTAGTTTACACATAAAAAAAAATATTTGTAACAATTTCGACAAAACTAAAAATGTCGAGTGTCGACTTAACAAAAAAAAAAAACCTTGATTGAATAAAACAAAACTAAATAGACATAAAAAAATCTTAATAAAAACTCTATATTTGATAAAAAATCTATATTTAATCAAAAAGTATATTCATTTTCAATTTTTTTTAGTTTTTTTTCTAAAAATATCAACAAAATTTTATTTGTTGGTTAAAAAAGCTTGAAATTTTAATACAAGGCTCCTAGTATACTTTTTCAAAGGCAGATGAAAAATATTAAAAATTCTTAGTCACAGTTTTTTTTTATAAGCATTTAAAATTCAAAAATTGACAAAATATGGAAAATCACGAAATTTAGCAAATTATTTTGAGTTAAGAATTCATAAAACTTTTTCTTTTTAAATCTAAGATTTTAAAATGTAATACAAGATTCCTTTATGAGCGTTTGAAATTCAAATTTTTACAATATTGGATATTCACTCGATTTCTCATGTAGCGATTTCCTTATTTTGTTGTAATTCAAAGTCGAATAACAGTAGATACATGAAAATTTCACTGAATGTTTATATTCGCATTTCCTATACACCATACAATTTTGAAAATATTTTGACTCTTTTTAAGCTGTTTACGGACATTTTCAATTTTCAATTTTTTTCGTTTTTTTTTCTATAAATATCAATAAAGTTTTATCTGTTGGGCCAAAAAGTGTAAAAATTTAATACGAGGCACCTGATATATTATCACAATATCAGTTGAAAAATATTAAAAATACATAGTCACAATTTTTTTTTTATAAGCATTTAAATATCGAATTTTGACAAAATTTATCAAATAAAAAATTGAATAGTTATTTATTAGTTAAAAATTTATAAAATGTTCAACTTTTATATCTAAGGATTAAAATTTTAAAACAAGATTCCACGTAATAAGTTACTTCTATTACCACAAAATCTAAAAAATACATAAGCACAGTTTATTTTTATAGTCATTTTAAGTTCAACTTTGGACAAAATTACATATAAAAAAACCTAGAATGTTGTGATTGTATAATATTACTCGTGGGTAATTGAAACTTCTAAAGTACACAATTATATATCTATGATAGTATCAGGGTTTGTTGTTGATGTATAAAAATAAAACGTTATATAAACCTAATGGATATTTTGATATGATTAATTTGGAATTTATTATAGGTAGGTACCTATTATATTTCAATAATATTTTTTTTTTTAATACCATAGAGAAGTATATAATATGTCTTATGCCTAGACTGATATACCGTCTCGCCGCTTAGAATCGTTTTTCTTATACAATGATATTATATCATTGAAATATTGAATTCAAAATTAATACCATCCATTATACCCACTTGTAACCTACTGTACAGCAGAGCACCTATTAGATTCTGCAAATGCCTACAATAGTTGAATTATAAGGAGACCGGACAGAACGAAAAACGACTACACGAGGCCGGTGTAACAGGCAAATCTTACAACCGGATAATTTTACCAGGGGGGTAAGATTTTCCTATACTAGGTTATACTAGGAAAATCTAAAAATATCCTATTCCGAATCGAAGTGCTTCTATAACTTAAATGTATGCCCTTCAAGGGACAAGCACAGTATGTAAAATGTAATAAAACGTGACATTTTTACTTATTAAATAAACAAAGGCTGTGCCACTGAAGTTATGCGAAAGCAGTCTGTTCCCGCGTCGTTGTCAGTTGAAAACGGAAAAAAAAGAAGATTTTAACTGTAATATAAGTACCTCGTCATGACGTCTGTCTCTGTAAAGTGGATTTGTTAAATTTAATTCAATGACGAAAAACGATTCTGAGTGGAGACGAATGACTATGCTAGTCAGCATTTATTTCTTAAGATATTTTAATGTTTTATAATTAATATTATTAATATATTAGGTTCTATTATACCTATTACATAGTACCTATTTTCTTTTTATTAGTTATACCATAATATATTATGTTGAAAATATAATACGAAGTTCCTGGTTCCTCATAGGCTGTTTTAATAGTAGTTGAAAAATATTAAAGATACATTCATGATTTTTGTATAAGCGTTTTGAGTTGATTTGTCAACGAAATTTTATATTTATACAAAAAAATAACGATTTTTCTCCTACAATGATAATAATATTTTGTACTTTTGTAGTAATTGAATCCGTTTGTCATATATAATCCATTATACGTAAATACGTTTATGGTTTATTATTATTTTCTGTACACAATAATTGAATATAATTTTCTAAATATTTAAACTAATTTCATGCTGTTTACTATACTACGTGCTTTTTTTACATAAAAATTAGCCAGTAGGTGGGTGTAATAATATGTCAATAATGACTTTTAATAATAAATCATATCATATTTATATATATAATAATATATGCTATATTTTTTTATCAAGAACTAGTTCAACTGTATTGATTTTATAATAGACCTGGGGATTGAATAATCCGCAAACAATGGGATTAGAAAAAAAAGTTCAATTGCAGCATTTGCCGCGTACCTGCCTTTATGAGGACGTAACACTGCAGGTATTTGTTGTCTCCGCCTTACGAGTGCTTAACATAGTAAATTTACGCTCAGCAGAACACTTGCAGTTTCGTTAGTTTAAACATTAGAGTGAATTGACCTATTATGAACTTCGATGGTAAGAACATTATCTGGGTTTGTACGTTGGTTTTTTACGATAATTCGGTTTTTAAGCGAGTTATGAGCATTTTTAATTTACGGTATATTATATAAGCATAACTTGCTAAAAAATTGAACTATCGTAAAAAACCAACATACAAACACAGATAATATTCTTACCATCAAGTTTCATAATAGGTCAATTGACTCTAATTTTTAAACTAACGAAGCTACACGCCTACATGTGTTCTGCTGAGCGTAATTTTTCTACGTTACGCACTTGTAAGACGGGACAACAAATACCAGTGTTACGTCCTCTTAACCTATTGGCCATTGCCTATTGGTATAGCTAGTATACTGTATAGCCGGTTCAGGTACCTAATCCATTAGTCATTGTTCTGTGTGAAATATCCTATGATATTGATATCTACATTGGCTTGAAGTATAGACTATAGATAATAGGTTAGGATAACTATTATAATATTAGAATAATAATAAAGAAATACACCTACCTCTATATAACAATTTGATTTATTCCTCCTCACCTACGAAAATATCATTAGGTTTGACCACCACTAATTAACACACGCCCCAAATATTTTTTTTGGTATTTAAAATTTAGTTAGGTAATTGAACAATAAGAATAATGATATGATCTATATCATCGCTGAAAACTGTTATACATATATTTAAACAATAAGCAGTACAATTATATTTATGTAATGTGTATAATTGTGCGTCTTGCTTTATACAAAAAATAAAACTAAAAAGGTACTTAGGTATATTACTAAAATAATTACATATTATATTGTATGACCATATAGTGATATGATAGTATATTATGTGAGGCAAGTAATTCAAGGACGTGAGCATCTAAGGTGAGAGAAAAGCAAAAAAAAAATTCTCACGTAGGTATAAAACTGTAAAAGTTAAAAATAATAGGTATAGGTACCTATAAAATGGTAATATTCTTTGTAATTAAAAATAAAGTAGCTGGTAATTATAAAAAACTTAAATGTAAAAATATTTGAAAAAAGTAATGTGTAAAAAACCTATACTATATAAGAAAAAAATACATTTAATTTTGTATTGAACGAGTGGGCCTTTATTATTTATTTTGCTTGACATAATTTGTAAAAAAAAAAACCGTAGCCCGTGAAAATTGAGAAACAGAATTCCCATGCTATCCAGATTGCATACAATTTTTAATTAATAAAATTCTTGAATCTAATATTACCAGCTACCTATATAGGTATATACATTTTCTAGAGAGGCATGTGTTGTCTTAGAAATTACATTTTTAATTTAATTTAGTTTTTATAGACAGAAATTGTTTTTAACCGTGGTTAAATCTAAGCATTTTTCTATACTATTTGTGTATACAGATTTACAGGCAAAAAAAAAACAAGTTACAATCATTGTAAAATTAATATATTTATCGCTCTGATGACTCTTGAGGGCAGGCCCTTCAAGAATCCCACACAGCGTTTAAGAAATGATAATATTTTGTGAATATTTTAAAGTGCTTGAATAATGAATATTTGACTAATAAAATTTTATAAATAATTTCTTCTCATTATGACATTATAGCAAAACAATTGTACTATATGATTGCATAAAAATGTTGACTTAATATTTTTATAAAGTTTCCGTAAAAATGTTTTTTTTTGAAAATATACCTATAGTTGAAATGTTTTGTAAATGTTTTTTATAAAATATTTTCAAAAATATGAACTTCTTGGCCAAAGAATATAACTAAAAAATTTCCTAATTATTTATACAACTTTTTTAAATATTAGGACAACTTACTGTATTATTTTCCTGAAAATATTTTTATGCTATGAGGGAAATGCCACAAATCAAAAAAAAACTATTATTACAAAATTTAAAAATACAATGATTTGTAAAAAATATTAGATCCTTGTAAAATTAAATTACTTTAAAATATAGGTAATAAATGTATTTTTTAGAATAACGATTATTAGTAATGACTGACACACACTTATATTTTATAAATTGCAAAAAAAAGTCTTCTTATTTTTTTTTAATTTTTAACAGTGTTAGCTCCTTGACGTCGTCGATATTGTAATAATTGTGGAACGGTTAGGTTAAGTAGTTGGGTTATCGTTTTAGATTGCAAATTTAACAAAGGTTTTTTAGATTTACGATGGAAATTATTGTATATTTTTTAATAACTATGTCACATTAATGGATTATATTGACCTTACACAATGTATAAGCTATAAACCGATTCTTCATAGGTAACATTTGACAACCAGGTAAACACGTGCCAGAATCGTAACCCAGTTGTCCTTATTCAAATTGGGCAAACACATTAAAATTAGCATTAGAAGCGACAGAAGCTAATCCCTACGAATTACAAAAACTTTCAAACGACTACACCCAAAAGACACCTGCAAAATACGCGATCCATCCATTTCTTTCTTATATAGGAGGCACAGGACCACAGCAGATTCAGAATTCAGATGTACCAGATCCGCAGATGGGCCACGTCAGACGGAACAGCTAGTTTAATACAATACTCGTGCTGGTGGTCTAATATAACTACATAAGATAATATTCTAATCAGCCCCAATTTATTATTTTAGTTCATAGTTTTTCAAAATCCCTCCTAAATTATTTATACAACCCATGGTTATTACTTATTATCTATGCGGTATAAGCTCTAAAATGTACGGAAGCGCAGTAATGTCACATAGAAAATAAATATTTGTTACAATTTTGACTTCAAAACTAGCAATTTCGACTTATCAATTCGGAATTTCGAATTAAGCAATCACAATTTTGACTTGCATCTTCAAAATGTCGACTTATCAACTCAAATTATCGAATTATAAGAACTCAGAATTTTGACTTAAAAACACGAAATGTTGTGCATTTTTTAATACGTTATAATAAGCTTACAAATTACAAAAATCTTTGGAATTCACTGTAGTCACTGTATTCAATTTATTCAATAAAAAAAACCTTGATTGAATAAAACAAACCTAAATAGAAATAAAAAATCTTAATAAAATTTAGGTATATATATTTAATCAAAATTTAGATCTTATCTGTATTTATTATTATTATCTACAATGAAGAAAAAATGTATATTTGATAAAAAAACTTGATTGAATATAACAAATCTAAAAATAAATAAAAATTTATAAAAATCTATATTTTATAAAAAATCTATATTTAATCAAAAAGTATACTCAATAAAATTTTTTTTTTTATTAAATACAGATTTTTGTATTTAATTTAGATTTTAAGGTTTTTTCATCAAATAGGTATACATATTTTTCTTCAGTATAGATCATTTTATTAAATATAGATTTTTTTTTATCAATTATAGATCTTTCATAATTTGTATTTCAATACAAAAAAGGTGGGCAAGTAGGTGTCGCTCTGCGCTGTACAGTAGGTTACAAGTGGGTCACTGTATAATGGATGATATTATATTTGAATTCAAACTTTTGACCCCCCCCCTCCCCCAGTACCAACTAGATTCACTTTCCTATCAGAAAAGCTACTGTTGAAGAAAATCCAAGCACTTTTACTGTCCTAAAACGTGATGAATGACAAAAAAAAAAAAAAAAAATTGGGCAAGTGGGTGTCGCTCTGCTGTAGAGTAGGTTACAAGTGGGTCACTGTATAATGGATGATATTAAATTTGAATTCAACGATATAATATCATTGTATAAGAAAAACGATTCTGAGCGGAGGCGGTATGTCAGTCTAGGTATAAGACATATTATATACATATCTATAGTACTAAACCAATATTTGACCTATAATAGGTACCTATGATAAATGATAAATTCCAAATTAATCATATCACAATATCCATTAGGTACTTATAACGCGTTATACATCAACAAAAACCGTGATACTATCATAGATATATAATAGTACACTTTAGAAGTTTCAAGTACCCACGAATAATATTATTCAATCACAACAAAATAACTAAAATAGTTATTCTAGGTTTTTTAATATGTAATTTCGTCCAAATTTGAATTTAAAATGTCTGTAAAAAATAACTGTGTTAATATATTTTTTAGATTTTTTGGTTACAGTATGAACTATTTTTGAGAACCTTTGTTTAAAATTTGCAATCCTTAGCTATAAAAACTGAACATTTTATAATTTATTAATTAAAATGATTGATCATTTTCAAGATTTTGATAAATTTTGTCAAATATCGATCTTTAAATGCTTATAAAAAAAAACTGTGCCTATGTTTTTTCAATATTTTTCACCTGATATTATATATCCAAATATATCAGGAGCCTCGTATTAAATTTTTACACTTTTTGGCCCAACAGATAAAACTTAATTGATATTTTTAGAAAAAAAAATAAAAACAAATGGAAAATGAAAATGTCCGTAAACAGTTCAAAATAAATCAAAATATTTTGAAAATGTTATCGTGTATAGAAAATGGAAATATAAACAACCAGTGAAAATTTCATGTATATACGTTCATTTGTTTTAAAGTTACACCAAAAACCAAAATCGATTTTTTGGAAAACCGATTTTGGGTAAAAATTCCCGTTTTTCCTTAATTTTTATGTTGTTTTTCCCGGCGCTTGTGAAAACTACTAGGAAATTTTTACTTTTGACCCCCCAAAGTACCAACTATATTCACTTTCCTATCAGAAAAGCTACTGTTGAAGAAAACCCAAGCACTTTTACTGTCCTAAAACGTGATGTCAGACACAAAAAAAAAAATTAAAAAAAATTAAAAATTAAAAAAAAACACACATCATTGTAAAATCAATACATTCATCGTTTCACTCAGAATCTAAAACATTGTAAAATCAATACATTCTTCGTTTCACTCATGGTGCTTCACCAATGTTGGTTTCCACAGTTTTCGTCTCCATGTTCTGTGGTTGTTATACTCATCGTCCTGGGAGCCGTTCGGTCAGTGGCGTCTGTATTGGCCTCCGCATCCTCGACCGGCCCTTTTGCTCTCAATCGCGATCACCCGGACGGTGACCAACCTTGCTGTGCAGGGTTTCCTACTAATGTCCCGGGGCACGCCTGCCACTGTGTGGCGGTATCCACATAAAGTGATTGGAGTGGAAAGAGTCGCCACGTGTAGTGCCGCTTCCCTCTCGTATCTCAGAGTTTTGTCTTCGGCTGTTGTTCTGTCGGATGATCGCGATGTTTGCAGTCTCTGCAGGTCACCGGACCCACCGGTGTTGGGTTTTGCAGTTTTCCTGCAATGCCCTCCGTAGTCCGTGCTGTATTTTGTTGTTTGCTCGATCTGTTGAGATACGTGCATCTTTTCTTTCCTCTCAATCCTGTTCATGTCCCGTGGCCACTACTGTGAAGGGCAGTTTCAGATGAGGATTGCTGAAGTGCCGGATGGGTCACCGGTCGTGTCTCCACGTTCCTGTAAGTTTGGACTGAGCCTATTTGGCCCGTTGTTGTCGGTTTATCGGTATTTGTTGGCCCTATCTGGTCGCCGTTGTTACTTGTTGGCCCGCCGGTGTTCGAATTAATCGCCTAGCTAGTACCTAAGTCACTTTAAATTGATGTGTGTGTATGTTTTTTTTTGTCAGTGTAGTTTATTTTTAGTAGATAAATTCAACAATCCACAACTTTGAGGGGGGTTTCTGGTAATAACTGCATTTTATTTATAGAAACCTGGAAGTTTCATCAAATATTTATATTAGCATTTACTAGAAATTATATAATTTTCAAAATATATTAGTTTTTTTTATGTTGTTATAAAAGATTTTGTCTATTTTGTCTTTTTTTTGTTCTTTTATAAAATTTATATATACCTATGAATAATACAATTTTTGTTTTTTAGTAAAAAAGAGTGAAAATTATATATAGTTGCTAGGAGAAAAACTGATGAGGAATATAAATTATTCGTACTGGTAGGTACTGTACGTCATTAAAAAGTATCGAAATCATAGTCCCGATTTTTTATAATAATACCAGCATTCAAAGTTAAAAATCAAGAAAATTGCAAATTATTTTGTAGGTAAATTAAATTTTATTAGCTAAAAGGCTTGGAAAATTGCCATTTCTAATTATTAGTTTATACAGAAAAACTAAAAATCTTAAAAATACAAATGTAGGTAGGTACAATTTTTTTTATAGTAATTTCTATTTCAAATTTCGATGAAATTGAATATTAAATGAAAATGAATGAGTTTAGTTATTTATTGTTATGGTTCCAAAAATAATATTCATAGAGATTTAACTTTTCACCACTAAGTATATTATTATTTACTTTGCATAATACAGTTCACAAAATATTTAGATTCATTTTAAGTTATTTATATACTACGAACGGATTCAAACTCCGAATCTGCGGTGTACGTCGGTATTCACTTATAAGTAAATAACTACTATATACTAACTAGTAATGTTATACGAAATATAGGGTATGTATTATAATTTCTATATTATAATTTATGTTTCTTGAGCATGAAGTCCTTAGCCCCAGGCTAGGTCCTATGGCCCTAAACCCATTACAGTGGTCTACTCACCACTCAGTAATTCGTAACTAGGAACACTCGGACACGTACTATACAGCAGTGAGCATATCGACTTCTGTTATTTACTTTATGTATATAATGACACGATATTTATTAATTAAGGGGGTATAGTAATGTTCCTATATATAAATATATAATAATTTAATATATTTAGCATAGTATATATTATTATCCTGCTCATCAACTTTAATTTAGTATAGTCTGTATAGATTAAACCTATTTATGTAGGACGGATAAACTATATCAGTAAATCAAAGCGATTTAGTAATTACTAATTCATAATTCATATCTATAATTTCAGCAATTTAGAATGTACAGTTTAAAGTTTATTTCAAATTTAAAACTAAGCAATTATTTACTTAACTTAATAGTTGTATTATATATTGATACCTAGTAGGTAATAGGTACCTAAAGTGGCTTGTTGAGTGTAATAAATAACAATGCAATAATGTAAATAACCAGTGTCCATGAATCAATAAGTAATAATACCATAACTCATAAGCAAGCAGGCAGCAGCTGAGAGTCATTATGAATTATGATAATAATTTATATTAGTAATACAACTTACAAGTTTGTTCGACTTAAAAAAATATGTATAAATTTACTTAATTGATAATTTAAGTTATAAGGAAAGTTATTAAACATCCTAATGACTCAGAATTATAGTGCTTTATGTTTGTAGGTATAGGTTCTTCGACCGGTGCACCCATATTCTTTGTCATTCTATCATTATGTCATGTTGTCATCATACTCCATTATTCATTGTACCTAAATAATAAAATATTATTCGTTTGCAGTACACGCAATTTGTATTCAATAGTAGTATAGGCATTCGTTTTTAGCTTTCAAAGTAATATACTACCAGCTATTATATACTTTATATAGTGTTAGTCGTTGTAAGTTGTTTATTAGGTACCTATATGTTTTAAATTTAAGTGCCGTTATTACAATCGTCTACTAATTTGTATATTTAACAGTCAGGTAATTTATATGAAGCTAGCTTTGAGTTTCATTAGCAGACACAATAATATTTAGTACAATTTAGAAATAACTGAAATAAATCAAAAACTAAAATCAGATTAGATATTAATAAGTTTTTTAGAAATAACAGGTTGGTGCCAACTTTACTGCCAAATTGAAGTATTATACAATTCATTTATTTGACATATTTTGTGATATTGAAATTAGAAAATATGTTTTGTCAACAATTTTAGATTTAATCTATGTTCTATTTTAATTTTAAATTGTGGCGTATATCCAAGAATGTATTCACTATGCATATTTGTTTATTTATATAAAACACAAAATGAATAAAGTATATTATTAAAAATTTAAATAAACTACTATGTAGATATTCAACATGGTTTACTATATATTATAAGTACAATTAAAGTGTTTTTCTGCTATAATACATGTTACAGTTATATTTAAATATTATTTATTATAAGACTTAAGATGTAAGTTGTTCATATTATATTACCTGTGTCACCTACAGGGGCAGATTGGGGAGAGATTTCTGCCAGGGAAATACAAATAAGTATACCGGCCCACTTACTTATTTATCAAACATTGAATTTCAGCCAACATAATATTATTATGTATTACTATTTTAACATAACTACAATTTTTTTAACACATTTGGTGAGTTATGTAATTTAAAAAACTTTACCAAACTTTATAAAACTTAATTAATAGTATATATACATCAATTTCAGATTTATTTTTATTCTTGAACAGTTTATGTGTACACACTTATAATAGTCTAAGTACCTATATATAACACAATAAAAGTGAATTTAAATCACTAATCGTCACCTATTTATTTTACTATGATGTTTTTTTATTTTTTTTGTTTCTGTCATTAAAGTAAAAATGTTTCAATTTTCTACTTCAGCATCTTTTCTAGTAGAAAAAACGCGTTGTGAAAAACAAAAAAAAATAAAATTAGCAAAAATTCAGTTTTTGACAAAATCGACTTTATTTTTTGTTGTAACTCTAAAAAAATAATAATAGATACATGAAGTTTTCAAAATATTTTGACTATTTTTGAGCTATTTATAGGTATAAGAAAATTTTAATTTTAATTATTTTTTTTTTTATAAATAATTGTGGGAAAAAATGTTTGCGAGTAAATCCACTATAATTTTTTATGAACCGTTGATGTTAGCATTTATCAAAATCACAAACATTTGCAAATTATTTTTAGATAGAAAACCATAAAACTATTTTTTATTTACATCTAAAATTTGAAAATAATATAGGCTGACAGACATGAGACAGTCTTCACTCAGAATCGTTTTTCGTATTCAATCTATTTATATCATTAAATTCAAATTTAAGTATTTAACACATTACCGTGACCTTTCTTGACACCTACTGACCTACAGTACAGTACTGATTAGTGATTGTATGCATAATACAAGCATGTCGTAAACATATTAGATATTATGATAGACTTTTCATAGTAGGACAATTTGTAGTGCCGTATAGAATACAATAAACAAACAATTATTGAAAAAAATGATTATAGTAATAAATATTACAATTAAAGTTTAACTGATAAAAGTTATATACAATTTGAAAATATTAATAGATATTATAATACAATATTTATGTTAAAAATAATAATAAAATAAATTATTTAAAAAAATATAGTAGAGTAATAAATATTACAAGTCACAATTAAAATTAAACAATATTTGAATTAAACAACAAAAAAACGTATAATATTATACCTGTAGCTGGAAATTATGTGCTATGCATCTTAGATAGTCTTCAATTGTTTATTTTCATAATCTAAACAAATTTTTTTGATTTTAGCACTTGATTTTAGATCTTTATATATAATTTTTTTTTGATGGTGGTTCTATCCCAGCAACAAATATTCCTCTATTTTCATTCTATTTACTTGCTCCTCTTTTTGCAACGCATTTATGAGCTTCCATATTGTTGGGTGTGATGAGGAGTTTAACATTGCAGAAAAACAATTGTGCCACCCTTCTACGGAGTTATTTGTTCCGGGTAAATCAGCAGACACTAAATAATAGCAGTTCCATGTATTTATTGGAAAATTAGGTTCTCTTCTTTTTTTATTTCTGTGTAAGCCACCAATCCAATTTCCCTCAAAATAATCAATTAATGGCATCAATATCTTTTCATTTTGAATATAAAAGTTTCTCAAATGCATCAACAACTTTATTTGTTGGTACATATGCCAAAGCTGGTAACATTCGTATGTACCTATAATGCAAAATCTGAATTTTCCCCATATTTTTTTTTGTAATCCAGTTTCTTGAACGTGCGACACCATACACATTGTGATAAATGAAAAAACATCCATTTATAGATGCATTTGAAAAAACTCAAATTTGACAAAAATTCATTTTATCGGTTTTATTCAATTTTGGAATTCTATACGAAGCTATAAATTGTCATACTATCAAAAGTAGCTCACGATCAATTTACGCGCTATAAATTGACCGCTATCTATTGCCGCGCTATCAATTATCCTCTATCTGTCTACGGGACACCGTCAGTACCTATTAGTAAATTAGTTAATAATTAAATATTAATTTACCTAGTAATAATAAAATTTAATCTATTTTATGAACCTTTGTATAATCCCTGATTCCCACCAAGGTCACAAATAACAATTGTCTAATCTAAAAATTTTATTTTATGTGCTAATATATGTGGTGATTATCAATAGGCAACAATGAGTCAGGGTTATTAGTGACGAACAGGTGGATATTAGATAAGACTAAATCTAGAGTAACATTATTATGATTGCGTATTA